CAGAACCCTCAAACTCCCAGGCCTCTGGTAGAGGACCCGAGCTTGAGGATGACACATACCACCCCACGAGGGGTGAGAAAACAGTTTATATATATATATATATATATATATATATATATATATATATATATATATATGTATGTGTGTGTGTGTGTGAGTGTGTAAAATATGTGTAAAATATGCATCTGCTAAGACTTGTATAGCAAGATATTCCACTAGCTTCATGGAGTACAGTGTCTTACTTGATGACCATGCTGTGGTGGGTGCTGTCTGGTTCTCCACTGGGATTGGCTGATGTGATAGCAAGTGGTCCAGTCATGTCACATAAGTGGCAGGTTACCGTATGATCAGGGACACGGATCATGATGCTGTCCCTGGTACCAACACGGTCATAAGCTGCTCCCACTCCTAAAAAATCCAAATTATTTCTCATTATTTGTCTGTGATAACATTATGAACATTTTCTTTTTCATGCAACTTTGAAATGTTCTTATTCTGACTAAATCTTTTTTTTAAAAGCCAGGAAATTAATGAATAAATTTGTTAGAGATGTTACCAAGCTGGAAAAGCCAGTCTCCTTTGCTGACGATGCAGCTGATGCCTCCAGGATAAACATTCCTCATGAACTCCCACAGCAGAGGACTGAAAGGAGGCTTGGCTGCCACCAGCTGCTCTACACTGGAAATGCAAATGCATATAGGCTTCTCTGCTGGTCGGTCCTGGAGAAAGGTCATGTTATAATTATACCACAATAGACAGAGACTTCAAAAATGTATATTATCAGTACACTTTTTTTACCTTAATGTTGTAGATTTTCTCTATTGCCTGGGGATTCTTGCAGGAGGCAGCCAGAGCATACACAGTGTCTGTGGGAATACCGCACACTCCTCCCTCGTCCAGAAGCCCAGCTATTCTTAACAGGCCGCTGGTGTGGCGAGAGCTGGCCACTGGACAGGGTGTCTCCTGATCTAATTCTGATTTATTTTTTTCCTAAAAGCAGAAGTAATACAATGCATGTACTGAATGATTTATGTATTCAGGATCAAAAAGTCATTGGAGTATTTACCTTAAAAATGGGAGGTCCCATTGGCAACACTCTTGTTGAGAAAATGCAGTTGATCAACGAAGCCAAAGTTCCATATATGCATATGAGAGACACCAGTGCAAGCATAGCAACTGTGGGGGGAAATAGTATCAATATGTGTACATTGTAAGGCAAAGCTAATAAAGATTCATTAGGATAATAAAACAACTTTCAACTTACTTTCAAGCTCATACGGCAGTTTGTGCAGAGTGGAGAGAAGGAAGCAAACAAGAACCACCTCCATGAGTGTAGTTAGAAACAGAAGAACCAAGTTTCTGTAAGCAGCTGGAAAAGTTAACAAAAGATTATCAAACTAGTCAAAAGAAAACAATGCATAAACATCTAAAATTGAAAATAATTTGATAAAACTTACCAATCAATATCAAGAAAGCATTAATAACCAGGAAGGCGATGGCTCCTGCTGTAAAACCATAATCTGCCTCAGTGGAGAACTGAAGCTGGTTACCTGGAGAGAAAAATAACTTGAGATGAGATTCCTTGTTAAACAGCATCAAATGTTGTCATGCTTGTTATATAAATGCAATAACATACCTGCAAATCTAAACCATGTCCATGTTGCCCAGACAACCATGTAGATTGAGGAGATGACCGATCCAAAGCGGCCACCTCCTGTCACTTGCAACCTGCTGACATAGGCCTGGATGATGGCTCCAGATATCAGGACCCAGGGGATGGTCAGGTGCAGGAGGGAAGGGTTCAAACTCATCTTTCTTGAATGAAGAGCTGACAGAGCTGCAACCCCGTTTAAAAGATAGAACAGAGCATCTGAGGTCTGATCAGTTTGTGACAGCACATCCTGATCTCCATGTTTGGATCTACATCCTAAAGCAGTTTTCAATTTCTCAGAGGACACTGGTTGAGGTCCTACAGGTATGAGAGACTTTTCTGCAATGGTGTTGATGAGACGGGTGAAGGTCCCATAGATAGAGACTGCAGTGAAGAGAGAACAAGCTACACCAAAGAAGATGTAGTAACCCTGCAGTGGGATCTGAGGGATTGTAGAGATGGTGAGAAGGACAAAGAACAAGTTATGGATCAGTTCCAGGACATCCATGTTCAGGCTCCCCACACAGAGCACCAAGGCTGCCGCCACAAAGAACCAGTCTCCTACCATTGCTTCCCTGCCAGAGACAACTTTACTCTCCTCCACTATTAGAACAGACACAACAAACTCATCCCAAGCTTTGATCAGCCAATATGTGGCATGGAACCCAAACTTTGTGGTGTGGTAGCAATCTTGGCGCAGATGGGCGTAGTAGCTGGAGAACAGCTGGGCAACTGAGATGATTGAGACCCATGCAACCCCTAAGCCAAATGATTTCATGTACCCAAAGCTGTAGAAAGCAAAGATGAATGGAGCAATGGAGTCACAGAAGTAACCTAGAGCCATTGGTTCTGCATATTTTGTGTTTTTCTTTTTCTCTTGACCTCCACTCTGGGCTTTTCCTGTGTTGGGGGTCCCTAGTAGAAGAACATTAAAGAGAGGGGTCCCAAAACCTTTCAGGGCTAGACGCTGAGTCAGACCTTTGATGAGAAGAGCAGCTGAACCATAGATGGCAAACATCAAAATGAGTAACTCCAGAACCCCAGAGACTATCAGAGCCCAGGAGTCTGCTGCCAGAGCTACTGCTTCAAAGATCAAAGTCCCTGTGATGGCTCCAAAAACAAAAGGCATGATGTAGTTGACTGTGGCAGAGCAAAATGCAAGAAGAAATGAGAGCAGGATGTAGGGAACTAGCCCAGCAATGGCTGACTCTTCTATGGACAGACATAAGTAGCACTGCCTGGAATCATTGAGAGACATGTTGCTCATCATGTTGAGGGATGAATTGCTCAGCATCTGATCTGTTGTTGATGTCATATTTGGATTTTCAGACAAGGCACCATAGTAGATTCTGGTTGCACCATAACTGCCCCAAAGAGCAGCATAGCCAATGAAAGCAGTACCGCTCAGATGGTCGTATTTACGGAAGGAGAGCAGTCCAGCCACCAACTGGCAAACCCCACCAATCAGGATGAGATGTACACCTGGAAAATGGTTGCAGAATTGGGTAAGCTACCTTCTTGGTTCTTTTAACTATGCTTTCTCTTATCAATTATCACCTAATTTTACCTGCAAGAATGTTCTCTACTCCGACTGGAGCTTTGCCATTGTGAGCTGTATGGAAGTTCTGTAGTAGTACAAGGAATGCACTGATCCCATTTGACAGCATGCCTAAAACTCCTGGTTCCCCATAGAAACTGGCAGGAAATCCATCTGATCCTGCCATGATGCTTTTTTCTTTTCTGATTGAGTACATCAAAAATAATACATAAATATTTTCTCTGTTTATAAGTATCCACATTGATCATACAAACAACATTGTGTTTCATTGATTCAGCTTTATACCTTTGCATTAAGGATTAACAATTTTCACTATGATCAAAAATATATTGCTTTTATTCGTATTTCCACACACTCAGTATAGATTTATGTTTTATTTTCTTTGAAGAACAGTGATTGGTTGATTAATATAGTGCCTGTTTAATTCTAAAATCACTTAATTTTAATGAATACCTTCCACAAAATATTTGCTAAAAAAAAGACAGCTGAAAAAACTTAATAGTAAAATGTTATGTTAAATGTAAGTTTACAGGTCGTGGTACTTTTTGTTACTCATAGCTGTTCCAAACAACCTTACATTAATTACTCTTAGTCAAAAAAGATAATATACATGTCACATTAACAGATGAATGGTCTGTGCTTTTCTAATCAGTGGTGTTAATATAGAATCACATAAGCCTTTGAATCTATTGATCAAAGTATGTTTTCATGTTTCATACCAAAGAGAAAAGTTGTTACAAACAGCATCACATAAAGAAACAAAGCCTTACTTGGTTAGGATGCTTCTAGATGAAATGCTCTTCTCTTCTTATGCAGAGATGCAGGGTTGGCCCATTTAAGACTCTGCTGAAGTAGGAGGAGTTCCAAACATACGTCTTTAGCTGATTAACATCATACTGACAATGAAATTACTGTCCATCAATGGATGTTTTAAGGATAAATGACACAGAGAACTGGAAATTCCCACCCCCTTCCTTGTTCTTAGGTAAGTTTTGGTACCTGGGCTATATAAGGTGTCACTCACATCATTCTGACACTCAGCTAAGAGTGTAGAAAAAAGAGTACTAAGGGGACTTAGGTTTTTCAAGAAAGGTTAGAACGCAATATAAAAAAAGAAACGCAGAGGGCATCATGTTCAAGCTGCAGGTATAAAAAAATATTTACTTAATTTATGAATACACTTAAATGTTTGCTATTATAGCTGTTTTAAAAAAAATTTAAACAAGCTTTTAAACAGACTTTTTCTATTTAGGCAGAAACTGGCTAGACAGTAGTACAGGTGTAGAAATGTTTGTTACTATAATTCCATTGTCTTCCAAGGCAATTACTTCACTTCACCTGTGTCTGGCGGTAGTCAGAAACTATTCAGATAAGCTTTTCACTTATGTAACAAATGTTGCGTAAAATAATTTGAATATTTTTCTCTTTCACTTCCTCAGAAAACAATCAGACCGATTCAAGCTGCAGGTAGAGTCTACAGCTCTGCTGTGAAAGGTGGGATTTTATTTTTTATTTTTTGCTCTGTATAATAGCAGCTTAGAATATATTGAACATTTTTCATAAATAAATGTTTTTGTATAATTGTACATTCTAAATGTTTGTTTATTTAAGGGTGCAAAATAAAATATTCTACTTTTGATAGAGGTTGTGAACTTTGTTTATGACATCTTAATTAACTATGAGAAAGTAGATACATTTATTTGTGTTATATTTCCTCTCAGCAGTGTTGAGAAGCCCAGCTCCTGAGGAGACAGTCACTGCAAGCTTTGGGAAATTTATCAGTGAGGTTAAATCTGAGCACCTGTCCCCTGTGGTTCTTCACCGCAGTAAAAGGATGGTGCTGGACAGCATTGGTGTGGGTCTCATTGGTAGCACTACTGAGGTGTTTGAAATGGCTCTACAGCACTGCAAGGTGAGACAAAGATATAATATTGACTTTCTAAAATGTTTTTCTTTGTCCTCAAACATGAGCTTTTTAATTTACTGCTTTAGTTACGTAATTTGCATATTATTTTTGTCTATGCGATGACCAGGTTTTCTGAGCTGTGAAGTGTGACTTGAAACAAACCCCTGCACCTTAATTAAAAAAAATTTTTACATATATTCAGATATTTTAGTTCTGATATTTTCTTTTGGTATTGTTGTTATTTTGTTCTTTTTGTTTTGTTTTTTATTTTTGTTTCTTTTTTAAGGTGAATACTAAATGTTAAAGTTTTATACAGATACCATTGCAAATTATGGTTCACTGTCTTTTCCTTTAACTTTAGGACATGTATGGCCCTGATCACATCAGCTCAGTGTATGGACGCAGAGGCACAAGGCTCTCCCCAATATTGGCAGCTTTTGTCAATGGAGTTGCGGTGGGTGTGGTTATGACATACTATTTTTGCAAATATTTGACAATATTTGTAAAAAATAAATTAATAAATAAATCAGACAAAAAGCATTGCAAGCTCAAACAGTAAAATGTAGAAGTTTTTATTTTTTAACCTTTGGTAAAGGTGTCTAACATTACAGGTTTTGATCCTGTATGACTAAATCTACAAGGAAAAAAATAAATACCCAAAATGTATCACTAAGAACTACTTTATTTATTAATTACTAAGTAAATGAGAAAAGAAATAAAATAAATAAATCAGTACGACCTATTCATCTGTAATATTTTTCAGGTTGATTTATAGCTGTCTTTATTCTTGCAGACTCACTCCATGGACTTTGACGATACCTGGCATCCAGCAACTCATCCATCAGGAGCCGTCCTTCCTGCTGTGTTAGCTCTCAGTGACATGATGCCAGCCAGCAGGAAACCCAGCGGCCTGGACTTCTTACTGGCATTTAATGTTGGCATTGAGATCCAGGGCCGCCTGATGAGGTTCTCCAACGAGGCCTGCAATATTCCTAAAAGGTCAGTTCCTCAAAAGATGGATGGATTAGAATGTGGTCTTCAATTTGTTTATAGCTAAATTGAATAATATGTACAATTTTGTACAACATGTATGATTTTTCCTGACATTGTTGATTAAGCTAAAGTGTGTAAGGCCTTTCATAACCGTATAGTGTTTTTCCACCCTACAGCACAAAAATGCAAGACTATTTTTCTTACTAATGTGTTTGAGTTGTGTTTGTCTCTGGACTGTGCTCCTTTTGGCTCACTTGGCTAACTACCGCTATTTTTGTTTAGACTGCTTCTTCTTGCAGCGTTTAAAGCTGACCCAGGGTTCAGACAGGACAGCACTGTCAGAGAATTATGCACACAGTTCCATAAAGTTAAAGTCTGATTACATACCGTAGAAAATACATTACTACCAGAGAAAATTGATCATAGAGGCTTGCCTTTTGAGAATATTAGGCTTATATTTTTCATTGCATCTTCATGTTTTTATTTTCTCTTTACTCTAAAACTAGAAATATTGGGCACAAATAATTATGAGATGCCACTAGAATTTAAAATAGTTATATTGTTTATGCACTTGATATTTAGATGTTTATTTGTCTTTTGTCAGGTTTCATCCTCCCACTGTGGTTGGTCCTATGGGAAGTGCAGCAGCCTGTGCTCGCCTCTTGTCTCTGGATCCCTCTCAATGCAGTCATGCTTTGGCTATAGCTGCTTCTCTGGCTGGAGCCCCGATGGCTAATGCTGCCACTCAGTCTAAACCCCTTCACATTGGTAACGCCTCACGTCTTGGACTTGAAGCTGCCCTCTTGGCCTCTAGAGGCCTAGAGGCCAGTCCTCTGGTCCTGGATGCTGTTGCAGGCGTGGCAGGCTTTAATGCTTTTTATGAAGATTATGTGCCACAATCTTTAGATTCCCCCAATGATGGCCATGCATTCCTGTTAGAGGAGCAGGACATGGGCTTCAAGCGCTTTCCTGCTCATCTAGGGATGCACTGGGTGGCAGATGCTGCAGCTTCTGTCCATAAGCTTCTTGTTGGAGTTGGTCCTGGAAAGTTCTGGTCAGATCAGGTCCAGGACATCTTGCTTAGAGTCCCTCGGTCTAAATACATCAACAGGCCTTTTCCTGAGTCAGAGCATGAGGCCCGTCACTCCTTCCAGTTTAATGCCTGCTCTGCTCTCCTGGATGGTGAGGTGACCGTGCAATC